TAGTCTTCACCACTCAGCAACAGTGAAGTTCCTTCCCGCCCACACCCGGAATAGACGCACAAACTCCCACCCTTTGGCGGCGGCGCCTCCGTGGAGCCTCGCCACGGCTAGGGGGCGGAGCGAAGGTGGTGGGAGGAGCCAAGGTGTTCGGGGGCGGGGACGCTCGCCGGAAGTCGCCCCTTCGGGCTGCGCTGTCGGGGGGGGGGGGGGGGGAAGGGGGCGAGCTCTTAGCGGACAGTGGTCCTGTGAAAGGCGCGGGTACCCCAGGTCCTGGTGGTTCTGGTGTTCCCCAATTTCGAACTCCAGAAGTTGAGCCCACTCTTCCACGGTGCTGACATCGTGCCTGTTCCTCCTGATTGGCTGCTGGTCCTGGCTCCCTACAGGGGAAGTTACCCTCTGCTCTGCCTAGGTTTGACTCGCTCCGCAAGAAGGGAGGAGGGGATAGGGTGGGGAGGAGTTGGGAGAGAATTTTCTGGAAAAAAAAGTCGTGGAGAAGTCCATCTAGCGCTTCAGGCGAATGACCTACGGAAGGGAAACGTTTACTTTGTCCCCTGAACGTTACTCAAATTACCTGGCTCTTTTTTTTTTTTCTTCTTCAATCTTTGGTTATTAAAACTCTACAGAACGGCTGTGTATTTGAGCTGTTATAAAGTCGATGTCGATCATTTTACCTGGCAGGAGACCCGGTTCTCCTCCTAGACGCACACTAAAGCAAAAGGGCCCTTCCAAAAACAGTTTGAGGACTTGTTCCCCCGCCCAGGACGGTGTCTGTGTGGGGGTGCTAGAGAGGGTGTGGTCACCCGTCTGAAGACCCTTAGAAACCTTTGAGCGAGATGATGCCAGGAGAGACACACTCCCCGGAAAAGCTGGAGCCAGACAGTCTCGGTCAAGCTGAGTGTGAGGAATGTGTCCCCAGGCCAGAGCCTTTGCAGGCTAGGAGAGTTCTAGACTGGGCAGCATACAGTGAGCCCTCTCTCTATCCAGAAGTCGAGCGTGTCTTTTAGTCCAAAGCCAGCCAGCTCCTACTTCATGTCTTCTTCCCCACTGAAACAGTGTGAGTAGGTCCAGAACCTTCTTTCGCTGCTCAAGGTATCCTCCAAGTAGTCCTCAACTGGTCAGGTCGCCAGAGAGTGGTTTCGGGGATACTATAAGGACTGAGTTTGGGGCTCTCCCCAACCAGTTGGGGGAAAGCAAGGACATTACTGTCGCCTCAAAACCCCAGTCACCCCCACCTTCCTTTAACTTGAAGCTGGCTAAAGAGAGATACCAAGAGACACTGGGTGAGGGCAGAATGGTTTCTGCTAGGTTCCTTTGTAGGAAGAGGGGTGACTTTTTCTGCCTATACAGGGGTTTTTTTTATAAGCCTCCCCCGCACCTGTCACCACCGAAGTAACCCTGTTCGCGACATCGCCAACAAAATAGAAACTCCAACTTCCCCCTGCGTGAGAATACAGAACAGATGTCTCAGTGTGTCTTACATCCAGCACAGTAAGTAACCGTCCCTTGATTGACTGTTGCTCGGTGGGAGGTGGACAACACCTATCAGGACCCCCAGATTTGGAATCAGACACCAGCACTTTCTCAACAAGAACTCTGGCCTTCAACACTGGCCTTCGGAGCTTCAGATATTCACGCCTCAAATCGCTTCGTGCACGCCAGAAGGAGCAAGCGCATAGCCGGTTTTTTTTCCCACCCCCTTCAGTATTAATACCTGCCATATCTTACCCAGTTAATTGTGGTTTGAAAACACTAGTGCAGCACCCAGAGGAGCCGGGAGTGGGTGTAGTCTAGTGAGGTTACTTTTGCTTGTAATCCTCCCCCTCCCTTTCCAATTTCTTTGATGATTTTTCCCATAAGTGCATAAGCTGCAGGGACTTAGTCGAAGCAGGCCGCTCCTCCTAAATGTGATTCGGACCATATGCTTTCCACATTCATTCCCGCATGGGCTTTCTTCTCTGAACTAACTGCTAACACGTTATAGTCACCTTGAAATTTCCTCTGCTATTTTCCAATTAAAAGCTTAATAGCCCTGGAAACGGAGTTCATGTGGTGAAGTTTACCATAGCCCCTTGTTCTAAAAGGCTTTCTGCTGGGATCCCATTACGTGCTCGAATAAACCCTTTCTGCAAACAGAAATGGGACTCGGGGTTGTCAGGTGTTGGGTTACAATAGACTTTGAGGCAGGGGACATTTTACCAACATAAATACAAACCTGTCCCTATAGGGAGATGTTGTCAAATACTGGGATATGGAAAACATTCCCATCAAATATGAGAAAAGGATTACCGCGCTATATCAAATGAGTATTTAGATCTCAGCCCTCGATGTGCACTGGAGTGAAACGGGGCTCAGAACCAAATAATACCAGAATGTGTGAGTGGCACTGGGCTAGGGTGGCTAGGTGACCCAGGAAGGAAAGGGGATTGCCTTGAGAATGAAAATGTCCCCCCAAACCTGGTCCAGAGCTCCTCTGCTTTCCTTCCTCAGAGAAACTCGTTAC